GTATATATAATTAAATCTAGTTCCACCACAATCCTGTGTAATTCCTCCTTTATATTAACCACCCTGCCTTGTAATACCTAGTCATTTTATTTTCTTTGTCTCCCAGCAAGACACGCGTCCCCTTTCAAAAATCGGACGTAACAACGTTAATAGTTACGTTGTGTATACGCGACAGCGCCCATCCGCTATCACGCTCCTGAAACTCTTCGAGTTCGGTTAGAATCGGATCGATTACACGCGACTCGTACCACAGTTGTAGGTCCGTTGTAATAAACAGTTCATAGTTTTTTGTGTTTATGCTTTTATTTGCACGTTTATCACCCGCCACAAACTCCCCGTTGAACACGGTATTCACCTTTACACAATTATAGCGCTCGATAGCGTCTCGCACGTGCTCGACCATTACATCGCGAGCGTCCTCGAGAAATTTGCGCGGCTCAATGTACTCCGCGTTAATCACCGCACCGGTAAGCACGCGGTTTTCGAACGCGGTGTCGATCTCACGCCACGACAGTTGCGCTCTCGAAGAAGGTCCGACACTCGCGTAATCATCGCCACCACCACCACCTAAATGTACGAATCGTCGTTCCAGTTGTTTTTTTACTCGAGTCGCGCGATTTGCGCCACCAGAGATTGTCTATTGCCGATGGACAGCCTTGGACGCTTGGCACGGCTACGTTCTTCGAGTTTCGCGATGCACTCGTCGCATTGCAGAATCCACGCGAAATAGTCGCCCATGGTGGCAACCTCGTCGACTCGCGCCACCAGATCTTGATCCATGTTGTCGCACATATTTCCCAAGTCACTCTTTTCACATTCGTTGAAACTGATTCACTCGACTGATGGACTTTGAATATTTCCCAAGTCACTCTTTTCACATTCGTTGAAACTGATTCACTCGACTAACGGACTTTGAAATGTGGAACTATAAGCTAACCTATAATATATACTTTTTACCCCCTCTTTGTCTTTTCGACCAGATCTTCGATTTTGAACGTGTCTGCGCACAAAATATTATCTTTATGACCCTTGACCATGTTTTCTCTTTTAAAATGTGGGATTATATAAGCTTAGCTAATATATTTTACCCCCTCTTTGTCTTTTTCGACCCAGATCTTCAATTTGAACGTTCTTTTGAAATGTGGGATTATAAGCTTAGCTAAAAGGATTTAAAATCTATCCACGCATCAAGACGAACCGTAATATTTCTCCTTCTCTCGACGTGTCCAAACGAGTCTCGACGTGTTCAAACAAGTCTCGACATGTCCATACCAACGTGTACATCTTCGCCTCGATCTTATATGTATGGGTAGGAAGCAGAAGAAAAAAATGTTAGTGGATGAAAATTTTTATAAATAAAGAAAAGAACGAAGAAGGCTCAGTAATAAAATAATACAATACATAAATATAATTAAGGCAATATGAGCCGTCACAGGATCGAAGGTGATCGGATGAAAATTTTATTTATTATACAATATTATTAATTTTTTTCGTTCATCACCTCGTTTTAAGGTTTCAGCAATAAGTTCATCTACAGCATAAACTATTAATTCACAATCTATGACAGAAGTTTTATCATATACCTCGTACAGTATACCAATTGCATCATCTCTCTCGGCACTAGTCATATTACTTTGCAAACAACACACAAATTGCTCGAAGCTTTCATTTACAGCTTCTATATCCTCCGACAGTTTGCGATATACAAGCTCTACACAATGTTCGAGATTGAGTAAAAATAATACAGTTGACATGTTCATGTACACGCAAGTGTCATCTAACGTGAATTTTACAACTTTTTTATTGTACATTCTAACAAGTTCTAAAACTAAATTGTCAATCTGTACCGATGATGATGCGTCTGTTGACTTGAAGAGCTGCTCTATTTCGGCACGTTTCTTATTAAATTCCATCCACGTTGAATGATTTAACGCCATCTTATTTCCACGATTGTCGCCGAGAATGAATTCCACATAGGATGCATCAGGTACCACGCAGATTCCAACATCCAAGTATTTGTACGCAGTAGATGTCAGGGCGAATCTCCTGCTCATGATACGAGGCGTGTAACGAGGTTTATCAGAACTGAAAGAATACATAAAGTAAAATAAATACAAGTAAATCAGGAAAAGTATGAACAAATATACAATAATTTTAGGGTACTTACGCATCATGCTGTTTCTTGCACGAAACAGTTTCATGTCGAGAAACGGATGGCGTATAACTGCTTCGAGGAACATACGGCATGTAACGCCGATTGCTAAAACTGTTTGAAAAATACAATTAAATGTTGAAAAATGTATGCAATATATATGCAATATATAACTTTACGGTACTTACGCGTTACACTGTTTTTTGGACGACATATCCAGACGAACGTAATGATTCATTCTTCTAACACTGTACTGGAAACACCGGAGAAATCGACTCACTTCGACGGCGACGACTAAAACTCTGAGGGCGACTTTACTAGTTGAAGTCACAGGAAAATTTTTAACTTACCTCACCCTTAATCCTACATCTTCCCCCGCTCACTCATAGACTACGTTTCCACCGAGGATCAGAGTCGGGCTAGAGTCGGGTCAGAATCAGGTTGGGGTGAGCGTTTTTGCGGTGGAAACACCAAACCGGGTCAGAATCGGGTTGGAGTTTGGTGTTTCCACCGTAAAAACGCTCACCCCAACCTGATTCTGACCCGACTCTAGCCCGACTCTGACCCTCGGTGGAAACGTAGTCATATAGAATAAGATAGAATGCGATAGAAAATATATTGTTAGTTACATTAAAAAATATAAATAAAACATCCAAGAATAAATTTGTAACGAAGCTCAACTCTTCCCGGTTCTGGATTTCGGACAAGACTCCGAAAGATGTTATTGCTTCGAGATATTTTAACGGAAATTAATCAGACGCGCGGTTCTGATTAGTGGGTGGAAGAGTTAGCGTTCTAATTCCGGTGTTGACGTGCTGTGTGTCGGCAAAATAAATCCTCCGTTCCTCCTATTTGCCGAATATGCTCAGCTCCAGGGCCGTCGGGAGGAAAAGAGGAATAGATCTTACTTTACTAGTGAGGTGGATCGCTTGGAAGGATCGGAAATAAATCGGACAAGTGTCTAATTAGGTTAAAAACGATAGGAACGAGGTTTATTCAAGGATTGATACACGGAATCGAGGTAGTTACAATGGGTCCGCCCTGTGATTAAAATATAAAGGAAAAGAAAAGGATTAGTTGATACAATGGGTACGCCCTGTGATAAAATACAAGAAAAGACAAGAGGAATTAAGGATTTGATACAGTAGTACGCGGTCGGATCGGAAGTGCGGAATACACAATAATGCGGCTAGTCGGATTATAATCGGAGTTACAGGAGATGCCGCTGGATTTATAAAGTGCGAGAACGAAAAAGGATTCGCTATGTTTAATTCGCGTTATAACTTAATCAAATTGAATACGATTCTAATGTATTCTACGGAGTAAAAGAGAAACGCTATACCGCTGTCGCGGTATCATATATCTAATTAAATAGAACGGGAAAGGAACAAAACTTAAGAGTAATATTACGAGATATTATAATATAATATTAATAATAATTCGATACTGGTACGCGCTGGAAATGATCGGAGAGGATGTTTTATGTACGGGATCCTCCGGTCTGTAAGGAAGAAAAGTAACGGGATTACTTCTACGGAGCTTAAAACTAGAACTAATGAGAAATACTTTTCCCACCCAAATATTTCCCCCCAAGCTTTACACCGGTCAGGAGTCAGGAAAAGGATCAGGTCAGGTCAGGAACACGCCCGAGCAGCGCCTCGTTATGCGTGAATTTCAGTAATATTTGTACACCGGGAAGCACCCCGTTAGGTGTACGTTACTGCGGAGATACCCCGTCCCCTCGAAACACGGAGGCGCCCGTTGTCACGGGGGAACGGAGTCAGGAACTGGCCAATCGGGCCTACGCTCCCGTCCACAGAAACTTCCCGGCAACCGACAAAAAAAGACTTTCGGTAGGAGACCGGCATCGTTCCCCGCCGGGTGTTATCGCGGGTGCCCTCCCGGACCCGATTCAGCGGGAGGTCCTCTTGGGGCATCCCGGTGGGGGACCTCGGCAACGAGGCGGCTCCGGTCCCGGGTGACCCTTCCCGGGGATGTAGGGGCCCTGCGCCACCCAGCCCTCGCGACAGTTGGGGCACTGGCGGACATCCTCCCCGTTCCGGCCGCACCGATAGCAAAATTTCCGGCTTCGGGGGCGGGGGCAGCTGTGCGCGAAATGCGCGGCGGAACCGCAGTTCCAACAGTGCTCCAGCCGCCCCCACGGGTCGTCGCTCCCCGCTCCCCGGTCGACGAGACCTGGGGCTTCCCGCGGCAGTTGCGGCGTCGGCTGCCGGTGGGCCTCTCGCTCCTTCTGGCCTTCGGTCGCGGTCCGGGGCGCAGGTGTGGGTCGGTTGGCCACCTCCTCCGACGGCGGTTCGCTTCGGCCCGCGCGTCCCTCCTCCGTCTGGGTCCCCGCCTCGTGGTACCTCGTCGTTCGCCGCGTCTCCGGCCGCTCCATCTGTGTCGCCGCGACCCGGCGGCGGGCCTCCGGGCGATCCGTCTGGGAGCCGCGGCCCCTATGGGGAATGGACGCCGTTTGCGTCCTGTTCTCTCTCGCCTCCGGCCAGTCGCGGATGACTATCCCTCCGCGCATCTCGTTCTGTCTCCACCGGCGGTCCATCTCCTCCACGAGAGCTCCCAGAACCCGGGGTACTCCTGGAGGAGCCACCGGTAGAGGGGGGCCCCATCGTTGGTTGAAGCCGCTGCGCTCCGCCATCCCGACGCCCTGCTCCCGGCACTCTGTTCGTCGCTCCTTGCCCGCGGACGAGCCTCCCGCTCCGGTACTTTCTCCGGCGTTCGGCGTCTAAGGAGCAAACGGTTCGTTGTAGGGTTTGAGATCCTTTACGTGCACCTTGCCCGCGAGAGTCCCCGCCCGATTCACCAGCTCGTAGACAATCGGCGACAAGATCTTCGCGACGGTGTAGGGGCCGTGGTTGGTCGCCAGCTTCGCGAAGACATGCTGCGCCGCGGACGACAATACATGCTGTCTTTTCAAGACGGACGCGCCGATTTCGTACTGCCGATCTCTTCTCCCCTTATTGTATTGTCGGGTCTGGGTCTCCCGTGCGACTTCCAAATTTTCCGTCACCCATGCTCGCAGCGTGCGCATGCGCTCCATGCGTTGGCCCCAATTGCCCGGGTCCGACAGCTCGACCTCGGTGGCAGCCGCTCCCTCGGGGTCGGCTAAGCGTACCGGGTCAGGTTCCCTCCCGAAGTTTAGAAAGGCGGGCGACGTCCTCAGGGACGTATGGTACGCGGAATTATACGCGAAACGAAATTCGGCTAGGTGGAGGTCCCACTCCTGGTGATCCCGCCCCAAAAACGCGGTGATCAGTGTTTTGAGTACGCGATTCACCCGCTCAACGGGATTGGTCTGCGGGTGATATGGGGGTATCGTAGAGTGGCTGATCCCGTACTGTGCTGCGAGGGCCCCGAGCTCCCGATTGATAAATTCGGTGCCGTTGTCCGTCAGTAAGACCCGTGGCGCTCTCCAGCGAAAAATAACGAGTTCTTCGATTGCCTCGCGTATTTTCTTGCCCGTGGCCTTCCGCAGAGGGCATAGTTCGATCCACTTGGTGAAAAGATCCTGCATCACCAAAAGATACGCGTACCCGTTCTTACTAGCGGGTAATGGTCCCATCATATCGGCCGCGACTACGGTCCACGGCGCCTCGATCACCCTCTGCCCCATTAATCCGACCGGTACTGTCTGCTCGACCTTCGTTCTTTGGCACATATCGCACTCTCGGACGTACTCGGCGACGTCGCGAAACATTCGCGGCCAGTGGTAGCGCGCGGCGAGTCGCTGGTAGGTCTTCTCGACGTCGAAGTGACCCGCCTGCGGGGTATCGTGATTCGCGCGTACGAGGTCTCTCCGCGACGCGTTCGGTACCACCAACTTCCATTGGTCGAGATCCTCAACCACTTCCGATATCACGGCACGCGGTCTTCGGGTATAAAGTCGTTCCTCGACCACCCTCCACCCTGGGTATCGGCGCGGATTCTCCTCGACCGCGGCCGCTCGCGCGTCATACCACTCATCGCCCATGATCGCGACCGCGCACCACTCCTTCTCCGTCTCGTATAATCGCGACAGGGCGTCGGGCACGTGATGCAGTGCTCCCTTTCGATGCTCGATGGCATAGTCGTACTCTAGCGCCCAACGCGCTAACCGCCCCGTCGGATTGCGCAGATTATGCAGCCACCGAAGGCTGCTGTGATCGGTGACTACGGTGAACCGGTACCCCTCTAAATACGGGCGGAACTTTCTAATTGCCCAGATAACCGCGAGACATTCCTGTTTCGTCGTCGAATAATTCTGCTCAGCGTCCGACAGCAAACGACTCGCGAAGGCCACCACGCGCTCCATCCCCTCGATACTCTGGGTTAATACGGTCCCCAGGCCGACGGTACTCGCGTCCGTTTGCACGGTAAATGGCACTTCGAAGTCGGGGCACGACAACACGGGAGGGGAAATTAAGCGAGACTTGAGGCTCGCAAAGGCGTCCTCCTTCTCCAACCCCCACTCCCATCGCCGATTTTTCTTGAGTAGTCGCGTCAGGGGCTTCAAGAGCGTCGCGCAGTCCGGTATAAATCACCGATACCACGACGCCATTCCGATAAACCGCCGCAATTGCTTGACATTTCGCGGGGCCGGATACGATGGCGACCGTCTTTTCCGCGGGTCAACCCGCAGGCCGTCGTGTTGTACGAGAAATCCGAGATATTTTACCTGCGACCGACAAAATTTACTCTTGTTTGGGTTGATTGTTAGCCCGGCCTCGCGGATGCGGTCAAATACTTTACGTAACCAGGTCAAGTGTTCGTCAAATGTTTTCGTGACGATGACGATGTCGTCAAGATACGCGAACGCGTGAGGTTCCATTTCGGGCCCGATCAACCGGTCGAGCAAACGTTGGAAGGTACCGGGCGCCCCGGTCAACCCGTACGGCATTCGCATGAAATGGGAGAGCTCCTTCCCCGGCACAGTGAACGCGGTCAATTCACGACTATTCCGTTCCAATGGAATTTGAAAATATGCTTGGCTTAAATCAATCGTCGAGATATACCGGGACGACCATAGCTTATCTAGAATCGGCAACGGGTACGCGTCCTTCTTCGACACTCTATTCAGCCGACGGAAATCCAAACAGAACCGATACGTGCCGTTCGGTTTCTTAATCATTACGATCGGGGTCGACCACGCACTTCTAGACGGCTCGATTATTCCGGCCTCTAACATCTTGTCTTCTTTCTTCTTCTTCTTTAACAGCCCTTCACAGTTCACTCCTGAACATAGA